CTTTTTTCAAACCGATTTAAGTGGATTTTTGTTTCTAAAGAAATTTAAATGTATTCACAGTTTGAAATAAATTTACACAGGTTGGACCAATAAATCTATTTGGTTTCATTCTTATATTAAAAATATTCTTTCATACGATCTCACTGCGGCACAACGTAAAAATATCATTTTTCAAATCGGAAATTTCATTAAAACAATTTGGTCTTATCGAAATGCAGTTCTTTTCGATAAAGCCCCGAGACAGATTAACATGGTGACCAGATTTTTCCTTGCAGCTGTAAACCACCTTCCGTTCGACAATGGTTAACTAGTATGACTATCTAACGCGATTTTAATTGGAGTCAAAATGTAAATTTGCCCTCCATTTCTTTTGTTATCTTTTTTAAAAGCAACACAAGAAAACGCTTCTACATTTATTTGTGTCGTGTTTTTCTTTTTTTTGCTTGTCAGATATTTTTTGAAATCAATGTTAAATTTATTTTCTTGGTCCTACTAATAGGCGCTGATGTTAATTGGGTACCCATACGTAAGCGGGTTAGAAGTAGAAGCAACTAACGTGATAGCAAATCTGCAATATGCTGTAATGCAAATATATTCGACGTATATCGGGTCCGTCTACCAAACAGCCCGTAAAACAATGGCCTTTATCAAAAAAAATGTGTAGTTAGTCAGAGGATCAAAAAGAAAGAGAGAAAATAGTTGAAGAATATCCACGGCCTATTCAATCTATAATGCGTAGAATTAATTTACCAGGCGAAACAAATGAAAGAATACAATGAACGAGATACTCGTCAACCTTTCCTTTTCAAAAAGAAGGCATCCGAGAGAGGAATAAAAACTGAAGCTATAAATAGTTAGCAACATTTCATCTGTCGTATCATTCATCCATCTATACTGATTGTTAAAACAAAAAGACATATCTGAATCTATTCTTCGTCATAAACATCATCTATTAAAATCATGGCAGCAGCGAAAGGTATAAGATAGTATATGACATATTTAAATAGTACAACATCTCATGTGTGCGCTTTTAGGTGTTGGATCAGTATTCATTTGGGTGAATGTTCGGCTACGTAATAAAAGCTCGGTATGTTTGCAGTTATCAGCAAAGGTCGACACAGGTGCCGATGCGCTTGTGATTAGCAATAAACAGTGTGCTGATTTGAAACTGGTGTGCGTAGGTGAAGGAGCGTATCACGATATTGGGTTGACCTTCAAAGTGTATGAAGGAGCTGAAATCGAATACATGGGGAGATCGGCTGAAATTGTTGTTCATGGTGTGGTGGATTTAGAGAAACCCTTATTAGGCATGTCAGCCATTTGTGCTTTGCAAGTTTCTATTGATATAGTTGGCCAGAATTTAATCCTATTGACACCATATCTCAGGTATGTATAACTGTTGTAGAGTTTGAGTATGATCCATCGCATAACGCCCACAATTGCAGACAATACATACATGTAGTTAAACCACTCTGCTTAAGTTTCTAATTAATTTCTCTGCTTAAGTTATTTTCCCACCGTATGGCTAAATATTCATTTCCATAAAGTGCGATACTAGACGCCGATTCATTTAGAACACTACCGTATTTAGAACTCCGAATATTCCAAAATGTATTTATGCCGATATAAAAGTGTGGAATTACTACAAGAAACAGGCGGTGGATTTTTTTCATGCGAACACATCTCCGGCATTCAAACATTATCCTCAAATTTTGGTCGATACCGGAGCTACCACATTGATTATGAGTGAAGAAGACGTCATGCATCTCAACTTGGGACAGCCGTCAAGAATTG